AATGATAAAACCCTAAAGTGCATGTTCTTAATCTCACTACTGTTATCTTAAAATCATTTGCTTTTTTAACAACAGAGTAGATTAAGTAATATTGTATACGGAGTGAATTTCGACAACTATGGGAATAATACTGCATAGAGAAACATCTTTATGCCTTTATGTGAAAACAGCAATAAGCGATTGAGGGTGTAGAAATGTTTACTGTTGTATAAGTGAATAATGATGATCTTAGGTGTAAATCTGACAGAGAAGTGTAATTTTTTCAACAAATGAGACTCAATCAGAAATGAAAAACTATGCGAATCAAGCCACTTAACCTAGTCATCAGCTTATAAGTCAGCTCGTATTTAATTAATTTTCAGTCCATTAGCAGAATGATGAAGAATTCCAAACCAAACATTTATGTCACTATGTAGCCAATAAAGCTACATAAGGTTCAGTGATAATAGAAATGCTAAAAGCAATTATCTATAAATTATAAGAGAATTGTAACCAACAGTATAAATTTCTTGGTTCACTTCATTATGATGCTTGCGTTGACGATGCTGTCTAGTATAATGAATAAAATTTGACCATCAAAAAATATTTATTTAAGCAATTTAATCGACTAAAAATAACGACAGCGAAATCATGCCTCATTGTTCGTCGGCATAAATATCAATTATAGAAGTGTGCGACTTGTGGCAGATAAACCACTTGTCAGTAGTCATATAGTAAAAACGTTTATGTATTAATAAACTTATCAACCAAGCGTAAAAACACTCATCAGATGAGGAAACTATTTACTCTTCTGAAGACTCAACAGTAAGTGAGATCCTTATTGAATCCATTTAGTAGTTACTACAGACTATAAGTAAGAACGACATGAAGTCAACAACTTTTGTACAACTAAACCCAATTAATAAAGTAGTTTCTTTGATGTTCTTCACAGTTCATGTTGGTCAAAGACAAATAGAAATACAGCTCTAAATCAGTGCTTTGCATATTACAATGTCCAGTTGGTCCTAACTTATCATTTCGTTTTCGATAAATATGGTGACAACAATCTTGCCAGAAAGAGTATATCTGCTTGGTTTCCTAAGTGAAATAGACTCATTTCCTTCATTTAAGCTTAAACTCATGAGTAAGACAAAAAAGCGTCGCTTCTTGGTCTGGTCAACAAGTTGTTGTTTTAGTATATATGATCTTCAGGGCAAACTTACCGGAGTTTTAGTGACGAGATGTAATCTTCCGGGTCGGCTAAGTCGCGAAAGAGGAGGATGTTATCTAGTAAAAACTTAGCAATAGTTACACTTCCAAAAATGGTGCAAGTTGCAAAGTGTAAAACATTAGGTTCTAATTCAGATTACTTAAGTATACTGGGTTCGTCTCTCAACATGATTATAAATGTGTGCTAATGATAGGTCTCAAAATATAGCACATTAATTGTTGAGCTATAAATGATCTTTGTAGGTTAACTAGTTACTGTCAGCGTATGAATAAAGTCACCTTAAGTATTCTCACTTGTACTGATACAAAACATGTAGGATGTGAAAAATGTATATTATTATGCATACAGATAACAGTTAATTTAGAACATTCAAAGTCCATTAATTGTTAAAGCTTTCAACACAAATTCTGATACAATAAAATTTCTGGTTTAGTTAGTTAGCATAATGAGTCGTTTCATTATAATTCAGTTAACACAAACACACTATTGTTGCTGCAAATAATCTCTGTAAATGGTGAAAAACAGTAGAATAATTTTAACAGGTTGGTTGAGTTATCTTATGAAATGAAGAACTGAATTCTTCAATGAATAGAAGAATATGTATATATACTACTTACAAGTAGGTGGAAGTGATTTAATCAATTATTATCCTGCCAAAGTGTATCATTACGGACCGATATTCTAACTGCTAAAGTATACAGTATCTTCTCTTGGTCAACTCACCCTTGAATGATTTGTTATAACGTATACGCAGAACATCGAAAGTAACTTTACAGTTATCGGTATATTTATAAGTGAATTGATTAATAGTTTTGCATCGCAGAATTACTTTAGTGAAAAATCCATTGAAAACCAGGAATCAATCGGCAACCGTCTCATCCTAGTATAAGATCCATCAGCAGTGAACATGCAAGACTACACTACGAATTAAGATTTTTCGTCTATTTGTCATGATATTATCTCGGTTTGTTTTAGAACTCAGTAGTAGTTATCAGTAGTTAATAATATTTATACTTTTGAAGTTATTTCAATTTAGAGAACGGATAACACTAAGTAGTCCCAAGTTTTATTCAAGATTCACACGAAATCATCTATACTTAATAGATGAGGTCCATTATAATATATCAGTGGTTTATATGTATGACTTTAATCAATTCGGAATATTACACGACCATCATCCAATTCCACTGGTCGGTGACTGCTACACGCCCGACATGACTGATTCTACTAATCTGAATCTGTTATTAGAACTCCCAAAATTTCCTCATAAAAGTCACTTGGAAACTCATTTCAAAGAAGGTTGCTAGCTTCATGTGACAGGAGGCTAAGTTTATTTCAATGTCATTTAATTAAATGAGTTAACATTTATTACATGAACTCATTTACTATGCTATAAAATTTAGTGAGATCGATCCTTAGTCTCTTATGTAGAGCAGGTTAGATAATAAATAAAATGAGTTAAATTTATTAAATTCGACTGTATTTTTCTTTTCAAGCGTTATTCTTAAACTAGACGATTGAAATTTAAAGTGTTTGTCAGCCTGATGAACAAAACTATACGTCTCAAATTCTGAGAAACAGATTTTCAAAGGATAATTTTGTATAGATAATAATTCCGTATTATTTCACTGGTGGTGAAACTCATCCTTGATCGCATCTGGGCTGTAATCTTTCGGAGCATAGGCATAGATGACGAAAAGACATTGTTTCTCATACAGATTTATGCGCACTTTGGTGGAGCTTTCCAACCTAACAGCACATAACCGACTGTTAATGGGGATCCAATCGATTAGTGCTGCCTCAGCTCTAGCGCTTAGTGTGATACCAACGCTAGCAAGACTGGACGAAGATGTCTCAGGGTCCCCGGATAAGCGCACGTAAAACAAGGTTTTCGAAGCGACAGATGGAGAGCGAATTTGTAGTACTTCACCAGATTCTTGAATACGGGTCTCGGATAGACAACACACGTCGATATTAAGACTTTCCAAAGACGAAACCAACCCTATCTGTTGTCCAACCTGCATAAGTGTGCGAACGTTGAAGGCAGTCAGTTTGAATGGCGCACGTGGTTTCAGAAAAATTGCTTCAGTACTCATATTCGGTGGTAAAATACAATTTTCAACCGGACAGTAACTCGAGAACGTTTAGATACAGTCGAATTTCCACCAAAGACGAGCCGCTGTATAAGTATATAAGAGGGTGAATAATGTGGAAAATAATAATAATAATGACAATAATACTAATAATAATAATAGTATTAATAATGACAATAATTGTAATGATAATAATTTAAATCAATTGATTGTTTTTCGAAGCGAGGAAAGTAATTTCCATAGACATAGAGAGTTCATCAATTTGTGTGTGGGCTGTGATACTGCCCGGGTGCCCAAACCGAAGCAGGTGGTTATCTTAGGGGGCCACTCTCCGAGCCTTTGACCTAAAGGTCTAACCCACAAGGCAGTGGAGCATCGTAAGGAGATGCAGTCTCATGGTAGCCGGTGACCAATGATTGGTTCATACGCTATTTGTTCCCGCAGGATACTGAAGCCTATGTGCACCATTGGTTTGTGATCCGGTTAAAGCGCCGGACATTCGCTTTTCGTCCTCTCATTTTCGTAAACAACACCCCCGCCACGAGAAGGCAATGAGTAGGACTTCCCTGGCGGAGGCTGTATACGCGCGGCCGTGTGAGAGTATTTCGAGAGGGAGAGCGGACTCTCCCCACTCTCGGCCGTACCAGGGCATTAGATTGTGTATATTTATATTCATCTTATCATAAGCTTCATTTTGACCTATAGATTGTCATTGTACGATTTACTGTTCTTAAGTTATATTCAACTTATTAATTACTGTCTCCCACGTTCACAGCCACTTTTTGGCTTGATCTTGTATAAATTTTATTTCTTATTTTATGATATGATGCAGTCTGTTTGGCTGGTATATAAACTAAGTATATTTGAAATAAATGATTCGCATAGTGGAAGCTATATTGGTGTTCTGGACTAAACTGGACGTTCTAGGCAAACAAAGGTCTAATAATGACGCTAGGCTGCTCATACCGATCAAACGTCATTAGTTTAGCACAGTGTCCATATTGAATAAGTCGTATTTCGATTGGCGAATAAATCACGTGATAACTAACCGGGCTTAAAGTCACAACAATAAGCTTATAAGCTCCACTGATGAGTCCAATCCTAGGACGGAAAATCTGTTTAGTACTTCTTGATCTGCAACAATTTACTACTTGAAGTCAGTTCGTAATATAATTTGACAACATTCAACAGTCTTCACAACTCTCTATACAAAAATTTGACCATGCGCTCAATACTGACAAACTTTGCAAAGTAAATTCTGAATTTCTAGGGAGAAACCAAAAACCAGTAGATTTCAATCATTCTAGGAATGAAACAATTTTGAATGACGATAGAGAATGATTCTATAATATCGTAAATAGATTGAAGTTGGAAATTTAGAACATTGGATGACAATCCAATGATTTAAAGGTTGGACTTATCTATACATATATAGCCTATCGAATTCTGTTATTAATAGATTGTGTATACATTAAATAATTTATTAACAATTCTATTTCCAAAATATTTTACTCATTTCATAATGCTGGTAGACTAATATTAATTTGCCAATCAAAAGTCAATCTTAAACTGATTGCGTTTCATCATAATCAATCAATCAATCAATCAGTCAGTCAGTCAGTCAGTCAGTTAGTCAATGATTAGTTTCTATCCAAAATTTGATAAATAAATTTATTATTTACTTAAACTAAATTCTTTTCTATGTGAATCTATTTACTTTTATTGTTAATCAATTTGTTTCTTCCCCCCCCTCTCTCTCTCTTTATTTCTCAAAAGAAGATCAGAATTGCTCAAATTTAGGAAATATCAAAACTTTTCATTAAAACAAAACGCAGAGTAGAACTTTAATTAAGTAGGTCTAATTTAGTTGAATATTATTTTATCATAATGCTTATTTTATTGTTTTCTATTCTTTAGTTTTTAATTATTGGTATTTTATAGGCAACTGTTGATAATTTTCTGGGGAAAAAATACTAGTTGAGTAATGAAATAGTATTTTTCAATTAGTTCTCTATTATGGTTCCAGGTTAATATACGTAGATTGTTCAACTAAATATAGAATTTAATGTCAGAAGGAGTTTTTATGGACATAATAGTAATTTTAATAGTTGAGATCATGAGTCAATAGAAGATAGACCATCATGGAGAACCTGAAAACATTGAACAGACGTTTCGTCCCACTGCGAGACTCCTCAGCAGTGCGCATTCATGATCCCGCCTCTTGAGATTTGAACCCAGGACCTGTCATTCTCGCACGTGAGCGCTTAACCATTAGATCACTGAGCCGGCATCCAACGGTGTTAATGTCTAACTTCGACTAATCCACGAAATTAAGCGACACATCCACATCCGCACTGCTAAGGAGTCCCACAGTAGGACGAAACGGTCGTCCAGTTTTTACAGGTTTCTCATGGTTTTCTAGCTTCAATTGGCTCACGATGCCAACTATTGAAACATAGAATTGTTACCAATGTAAAGACAGGAGATTAATTTAAATAGGAGTAAAGAAATTTAAGTTGTTAAGACAAATGACTTTTAAAAAAGTTAACCGCTGTCGTGAAATGTAGCAGATTGATTGAATTTAGGCATTAACACTCTTAGATGCTGACGCAGTTGTTCGCACATGATACCGAATCTTCTAGATTCGTGTCTTCGTGTGGGACTGTGGATGTGCACTGCTGAGAAGTCCCATGCTATGAAGAGATTTCTATCCAATGCTTTATAGTTTTGAATGGTGGTTCAACTTAGATCGGTTCATGATTTCAATAAAGTTCAACAATCTCCACAACCTTATACTTAAAAATTAGAACTGAAAAGATTGAACATACTGAACTATTAACCAAATCTCATGTTAATTGGCAAAAAATCTCTACAAATAGCGTGAAAGATTTTCCATATAATGAAATTGGAAAATAAGTTGTCGAAATTGAACATGTTGATATGAAAGATTATGTGTTCTCCGTGGATTTGTAAAGAAATACAAATGAGATTCGCATTTGCGGGTAGTGACAAGACATTATTATTAAAAAGGCGAAAACATGGTGGCCTTACTACGTTATGTTCCTTGAGTCTCAATGACTGCTCAAATTATATTGCATTGTAACCTTAGTGATAAATACTTCCCTCTCCTTAGAAAAAGCAACTAGATTCTTAAACACTGTTACTAGCTTTATAGGCTTTAATGGACAGTACTAGCTGAAAGGAGTTGGTCAAATATCATACCCATACATTGACACATCTTAAATGAAGTGTTGCTCTTCCTCTTACTTCTCGGAGTAGTAGTAAGAAATTTTTCTCTCCATACCTAACCTAATATAGATTGTTTCTCTTGACCGTAATCGCTTTTTTCCAGTTTGTCCTCAGAGTATAAGTCTTATGATATCCGGAAACCAGCACTGTCAGATTCTATTGTATCCAGAGTATCTTCATAACAAATAGAAACATTAGATTGTATTACATGGTAGTCGAAGTTGATTTTCATTAGCTGGATAGAATTCTATTTGTAGTCTTAATGATCACGATGAAACTTGCTAGTTAATACATCTTTATACCAAGTGTACATATATTATAATTAATCACGAAAATCCGATCATTCTTTAATTATATCATTTACATTAGTTAGTTCTAGATAGTTTATTCAGTTAAGTGTAATTTGTATTCATATATATATATATATATATATATATATATATATATATATATATATATATATATATATATATATATATATATATTTGAGTTCATACAAGATTCATTATGAATGGAATCTAAATTATGATGCTTCAAGACTTAGAAATGAAGAATAAAATTCTGTAACTACAGTTTATTTAGGAGCATGAAAGTCATGTGAACATAATATTATGCCTCATGGAGTCATTATTAATTCCGGGATTTTAATTTAATAGAGGAATATAGCACTTAGTGAACACTCTATTTTAAACACAGAATAGCGTTTTCATTAAATTAAATAAGTGATTAAATAACTGTTGAATCATTTTGGAAGAGTGTAATCAGTGCTTCTAGAATGTGATTTATTTCATGACCAATTATTCAGTTATTATGACAACGGAATTCTTGTTTTAAATAATGGAGACGGAGAAAAAATCGGTGTAACTAGCTAAAAACTAGTCAAATATTGATCCATGTTATTACTAGTCTGTCAAAGTTATTAACATAACTCTCTAAGGGATACATATTCTGTCACACATTTATCAGGTACTTCTTTACTGAGGTAAAACCACTAGTTATCAGTTAGATTTAACTAATACAAACCAGGTGATTGGTATGAGTAATATAAGTTCTAGAAGCAATGATATCAGATTTACTTTGTAAAGGCTTAAGTTATAGCGCCGTTGACATTCTTGACTAAATATGGATCAACCTTAGCTGATATATATGCATCCTGTGTGAATTCTTGTGATATAACTATTCTGTCACAAGTTTTATAGAAGAACTAGATTCCAAACAGTAGTGGAAGCTAGGAGGCTGACACTGATCCATAAGAAGGTAATGGAAAATGTAAAAATGGAATAGAAAATCTTTTAAAACTTTAAACGTTAAAAGAACCAGCAGTTTTATTCAACTCCAGTCAAGTCAGGATGTTAGTTTTGTATTATTTTGTACCCATCAGCTGAACGAACTTCTATTCTGGTGTTCATGTTTACACCGGAACTCAAACCTATTACAGTTGGCTTGGAACACTTAATGTGTTATCTACTAAACTATTGAGTTCAGATAAACATTTAATTTTTGATGATTTGGATTATCTAAGGATTGAGATGTTAACTGGTGTTGAATCAGTTTTAGCTGAAATATAAGCATCTTCTATGAGACTTGTGGTAAAATGTCCAAACTGAAGTAATCAGCACAGAATCAGTTTTGATTTTATTCAATTATACTTCAGTCTATGAAGCCATTGAATTCTGAATTGATTGTATCAAGGCATGGAAACGCTTTATTCAAGGGTTGATGGGATAATCACAGACTATGATTGGAGACCTTTTGTAACATGGTTCAGAATGATAGATGTATTCTGTCTTCATCTTCATCTAGATACTGAGTTTTAGTATTACTTCATAATTATTATTCCCTATTATCATTTATTCTTATTGAACTTACTGAGTTTAGTTGTCCCCTGTTACTGGCAGTCTTACTAGTTATACTTTTACAATTTACTTGTTGTAAGTTTTCGATCCCAAAAGTGATACAAAGTGAAATTACTTGAATCGGTGGATATTCGATTGAGTTCCTAGAGTGTTTATGAATGACTGAACCTCAGTTGGTATTGCGATAGTAACATTAATGTTTGCGTACAAACGTACAAGTGATACATTATGATACAGTAATTCATTTGGTTGATATTAATTTACGAAGAGTAAATGTTTGATGGTGTTGCAATCTATGTTTAGGTCACTGGGAACATGATCATAGTTACTTTAATTCAAAAATAATAAATGCTTTATTCCATTTAACCAAGTTTGTAATATCTTAGTTGAAATACTATTCAACTGTTCGTAATACTGATTGTATAGAAGTTTCATCACGAAATGACCTTTGGAAAACTAAGAAACAATAAACAATTACTTGGTTCAGTGAGAATATCATTTATGGTTGATCCTTGAGTGGTGTTAAAGTGACCTTGAGAATAGTTACCTACCTAAGAGATGGTTGTAAATTAGTATAAGGAATTAGGATTAGAATTTAGAGTTAAACGTCAGGGTTAGGAATCGTAGTTAGTTTTTTTCACCGCGAACGGACATCAGCTATAATGTCAAAATACTATTTCGCAATAAAAATGAATGAATTTAACTCCAAAATCCAATAGTTACTATCTTAAATCTTATCGGTTCATTCATAAATTACAGTCTTGCCGATTATTCTATTCAGAAATTCTTCAGTAGTATACATTACCTATCTCACGTGATAGTGAAACTAGAACATTTACCTGTGGTTGTGATCAACCAATTCATAATACTTCTTGACCATCATCTATTATCATAAGCTGCTCTGTTATATTGCACTTGGTTAATATGAACGAGGTGATTTGAAAGTTGTAGGATAATTTTAAAAAGGATTATTTCTATTTAAACTAGACAATGATGATACTGTCAATAACAATAGTGCAGTTTTCTTAATCAAATAACCCAGCTTAATAGAAGGATTTATTTCTATATCCAATGTTATGATTAGGGTCATTGTCACTGCACCATTAACGGATATTTATTGAGCAATATTTCATAGATATCTTTTTTTAAGAATTATAAGAAAACGGACTATGACCGACTACTCTTTGAGTAACTAAACTTAAATCAAGTGGGATATACTTGTGTTATTGAGATTTCCTGAAGTCACTACCTGTAACTACCTGGTACAGATTAGCTCCACTGGTCACAACATCTTACTAGAATTCCGAGAATTCACGAAGCTAGTCACTTGTGAGCGCGTAGTTATCAGTATGGCGTTATGGAGATTGTTAAGTTTTTGATTGAGATCATGAATCAATGAATGTTGAACCACCATTGAAAACATGGAAGCACTGGACTGCCATTTCGTTTCCAGGTTTTCAATGGTGGTCTAACATTCATTGATTCATGATCTCAATCAAAAACTTAACAATTTCTACAACCCCGCACTGACTATTGAGATTTGTTGGTGTTCTCAATCTTCTTTAAAGCTGAACACACAATAATACCTGATTAGATAATACTGTAATTGCCGGTAAAAACTCTAGAGCACAAATCAATAATTTGGAAAATCAATAAACAGTATAGTTTTTAACAAAAATTCTTAATCTTAAATAAAATGTTGTACTCAACAACCTTTAGTAAATAACGTCTTTATGTAAGTATAGCTTTGTTTTAGTTTACTACATTGCTTAATAGCTCAATCAATCCACAGGGCATTACAATGCAGAATAACGAACATGATGAAGATATTGTTATATGGACAAAATCACTACATCAATCAATAAATAGTCTAAATATTCATCAGTTGGAAGATATCTTAGTCAAATTAAAGACAACAAAGGGGTTGGAATTTACAAAAAATGTTATAAATCATTTGATTGATGGAGAAAATTCAGTTTATGTTGCTGTAGAAGCTGGATTCGATCAAGCGGTAAGACTAATCTATTAATGTATATATATATATATATATATATATATATATATATATATATATATATATATATATATATATATATATATATATATATATAATTAAGTGATTTATAATTCTGTTTGTTAAACTGCAAGTTAGAACTTGATAGTCTGACCAAGTACTCAACCTGTCTTTACGTAGAGCAAGTTCATAATAAGCGTAATACTGTATGAGATCTTCAAAAGTGTTTTATTGATTGAAAATATTTTTATTCATCTCAGATTTCTTTGGTTAAGGGTTCGTAACAGACATATAACTGAACGATGCCTGAGAAATAGAAAATTTTTATTCGGATGGAGAAAAATTTCAATTCTGCTTTCAGTCTGGACGCCATTTTAAAAGAAACGGTTTGTGTAAAGAAGTCTATCTTCAATTTACCTAAGTTCTATGAAATAAATCATTTTATTTGCGCATATCGATTGTTTACATTAGCAGTAATAGGATTTGTATATTTGGTCTGTTCATTTAAGGGTGCCTTAATATCGAATCACCTTAATCCATTTATTTTGATTTTAGTTACCATACATTATCTCCAATATTTTTTAAAACAAGTGAGAATAACGGTAAAGGAGATCTGTGACGCGATTATTCAATTCGAATGCAACAATTATCACTGAACTATTGAAAGCCAGGGTACACTGGCGAACTATCCCACCATAATTTGAGACAACTCAACAACATGTACAAAAATCCTATTTTATCAATAATCATGAGCTCAATAATTACTGGCTTAGAAAAAACTTAGAAACCTTCAGGTCATGATGCAAACAATTGAGGAGTCTCAATCTTGGGCTAAATATCTATTTAATAATGTCTAGTTTTCCATGGTTCTCCAGTTACTCTCAATCCGAACTGGAAACTATCTTAAAATAAGTGTGATTCACCGAATAATACAGGTCTTCATATGTAGTTAATGACATTTTTTCTTCCGCTTTCTTTCTCCAGTGAGTAAAATATTCAACCTAATTTTGTGTTGATTATCATTGTTTATTCATTGATTTAAGAGTTTTATTGAATTCAGAAAGGAAATATTAAAAAGAAAGTTTAAATTTCTCATCTCTATTTATGGAGGTGATTAATTCTATTATTGAACACATAATAGTTTCATTTATTTTATGTGATATTCCTTGTTGTTACAAACTTTCCAAACACGTATCGACTATTGTTGTTGTTACTAAGATGGTTGACGAATTCACTGTTGTTTGCCTTTATAAAGGCGTGATAATTTCAAACAATAAACAATTTATACTGAACGGAATAAAAAATTATCTCCTGAAAATCATGTATCTTCTATTCGAGAGCTATGGATCAGTAGTGCATTAATTCAAATTTTTTACGACAGATAAATTTCTTAGTTCATACTGGAAATTTTAGTTTAAGAGAATTCATAGTATTGTATCTAATACGTTGGTACATATTAGCTAATGGCTAGAAAAGTCAACAAAGATACTTAATGTATTAAGATGTCATGTTATGTCATCTTTACAAGGGGTCTTCAATAGAATGTTGATTAATCAGGATGTTTTACAAATTTTTGACGTTCAAACTAAAAACTGATTTTGATTACTGATGATGATGGGATGCATGTTCATAAATTTGCAAAGTATCTGTTTCCCAATGTTTAATGGGTATGCTACATCTAACTTTTTTTTGTTCATTTGGTTAGCAAACGCTACATATAAGTGCATAATATTCACACGGGATTTCATTTCAAGCTTTAATTTACCAATTTATGCTTTTTTATGCCTAACTAGTTGAGATGCGCTACAATAGCATGTTCATATATATATATATATATATATATATATATATATGGGGAGAGAGAGCTTCGGATGATTAAAATGAAATCCCCAGTGAAAACCATGTTCTTATATGTAGCACTGACACACTAAATGAATGGTGAGATGTTAAAAGAATATTATATAATGCACTTCTATTGGACATTGCAAAAGGAAATGTAGTTTAATAATTCTGTAAAATTAATTTGAGAATATCATGAAAAGAAAATAGGAAATTCATTCGTATTTCAGAAAATTTCAATCCAAACAATTGATCTTAATCTTTGAAGATATTGGATCATTATGTCACATCATTACTCATTGAGTATTATTTTATTATTTTATATCACATACATACATATTAGTATAGAGCTATGACAAAAACCTAATTTAAAAGAAACTTCTTATGATCGAGTGACGGGAAACACGGGATACAGTGGACATCTAGGATGCAGCTGGACGATATGGACTTTGCAGATGAGCTGGCCCTTCTATCCTAAACGCAACAACAAATGCAGGAGAAAACGACCAGTGTAGCAGCAACCTCAGGAGCAGTAGGTCTCGATATACACAAAGGGAAAAGCAAGATTCTTCGATACAACACAGCATGCACCAATCCAGTCACAATTGACGGAGAAGATTTGGAAGATGTAAGAACCTTTACATATCTAGGCAGCATCATTGATGAACATGTTGGGTCTGATGCAGATGTGAAAGCGCGGATCGGTAAAGCAAGACCAGCATATTTACAACTGGAGAACATCTGGAACTCAAAGCAACTGTCAACCAACACCAATACAAATGTCAAGACAGTTCTACTGTATGGGGCAGAAACCTGGAGAACTACAAAAGCCATCATCCAGAAGATACAGGTGCTTATCAACAGTTGTCTACGCAAAATACTTCGGATCCGTTGGCCGGACACTATTAGCAACAAGCAACTGTGGGAGAGAACAAACCAGATCCCAGTGGAGGAAGAAATTAGGAAGAGGCGCTAGAAGTAGATAGGACACATATTGAGGAAAGCACCCAACTGCGTCACAAGACAAGCCCTCACATGGAAGCTCAAGGCCAAAGGAAAAGATTAAGACCAAAGAACACATTACGCCGGGAAATGGAGATAGACATAAGAAAAATGAACAAGAATTGGATGAAATTAGAAAAGAAGGCCCAGGACAGTGTGGATTGGAGAATGCTGGTCTGCGGCCTATGCTCCATTGGGAGTAACAGGCGTAAGTAAGTAATTCTGTTGATTGAGATCATGAACCGACTGATGTTAGACCACCTTTGGAAACCCGGAAGCACTAAACGGCCGTTTTGTCCTATTGTGGGACTCCTCAGCAGTGTGCATCCAAGATCCAGTGCTCCTAGGTTTCCAAAGGTGGTCTAACATCGATCGGTTCATGGTCTCAATCAAAAACTTAATAATCTCCACAACCCCTTTACTAGAAATTTCTTCCTTTTATTTGCTTTTTACTAAATGTTTAGATGAAACTTTTCACTATACAAAGCGTAAGAAATCAATCAGAAATTTTCTACACATAGATTGTTTAATTGATCATCGATATCAGCTCTGTATATAAATTTTTCTAAATTAATCATTTTAATGACCTGACCTTAAAATTCACAATTAGCTTAGTAGGTCCCTAGATGTATTGAATAATTATTTAGTTAGTTATTGAGTTAGTGAAACTACGAAGCATAAAACACAACTATTATTATGATTCTAAGTTGTAGACTTTTTCTGCTTCTGTGTAATAAACACTTCATATTGTACAGTTTAAGGGAATAAAGTAACGTGTAAACTAAATTGAAATGAGAACATTTATAATGATTAAGAGTTTAAGTAGTCGAAGTAAATCATCCATCATGCATTAAGTTGTAAACTCAGTTTTAAATCAGTGTAAGGCAATTCCAATGTTTATACAACGTTGATTTGAATAATCAACTTCGAATAATCAAAAAGAAAAGAATTTAAACAATTCATTCATTTGACTTAGTATGGTATGGGATGTATACTGGAAACTTTGGAGCTTCAAAATATAGAAACAACTATCTAACACATAGATCATTTCATTATGGTTAACCAGAAATGTTAACTACTGTTAATATTTTGTTCAAAATTCAAATTTTATCTTTTCAAGTACTGAATAGACTTGAAATACCTAACATTTTGCTAGCATAATCATCCGGTCTTTGCAGTTTGAATTATATTTTAACAAGTTAGTTTAGTTTATCTTCTGTCCTTAGTAGGCTTCATGATTATGTATACATTTCAATTTGTTTAAAAATATGTTCGTTCTATATCATTTCAGGTTAAACAACTCTTGAATACAGATATGGTGAATATTATCCAAAGAAATCTTCAAAATAACTGGACAAGTCTTCATTTGGCTTGTCATTTGGGACTGGCGACAATAGTCAGATCAGTTTTAAATTGTAACACATCCAATAAATTCATAAGAACAAATGAACTATATCAGTTAATATGTATGCAAACAACTGAAATTGAATCAGCCAGTCAGGGCACAGCTTTACATTTGGCGGTTTATTCCAAAAATATAGAAACAGTAAACCAACTATTACATGATGTTGATCTAATAAGTAAATGTTATGAAAGTCAGTGTGTTAAGAATAGGAAGCAACCGAAAGAAGAATTGAATTCTAAGGGGAATTTATTTGACGAATTCTGTGTACTGACAGATAAAAATGGAAATACGGCACTACATTGTGCAGTAATGGATAAACTGTATGTTCGTTAACTTACCATTTTTTTAGTTTGGAATTTTCAGTTTCTAATTTATGAAGGAATCATCGAGACACGATTGGAAAATCAAGTGCTGGCTAAACATTTTTAATCCGGATTTGTGATTGATATACTTTATTAAAGCTAGTTTACATAATAAATACAAACATCATGGAATGAAACCAGTTTTAGGCAGCGACATGATCACACTTACTTAAATGATAAAGCAGATTTGATCAATTATGAAAAATCTGGAATTTTTATTATCTTTTAGGTAGAATTAGCGATTGTGTTTGATAAGTTATCATAATACTTATCAGACAATTTAAGAAAAATGAGAGATGATTGGGTAGCTTATTGTGATTCACAATTGTCGAATAATGCATACTTCTAGAATACACTAGTCTGTGACAGCCCATTTCACCCTAGTATGAAACTCCTCAGAAGTACACGTCCACAAATTCAGCCATGGTTGCACTATGAACATTCAGGACACGCATCAGTTTAAATATCAAGCACTCTACTCGATATTTGAAAGTCCTGAGTTCGATCTTCGTTGAGTTTGTCTATGTGTGCCGCTAGGGAGTCTAGTGTTTATATATCATGATACCAGAAAAGTTTTGATCCATAACTTAAAAATCAGGTTTTTATAATTTTATCTTGATGGTTTTGATGAAAGATAATCTATATTTAGGTTGTATTGAACAGTGTTTACTTACTCAAGATTCAAGATAGAATTTCAGTTGCAGTACATTTGACCTCTAAGACTTTTCATAAATACCCAACATCAATTAAACAACCATTTCATAAATCAGGAAATTATAGAAGAAGAGATTTCTGTTAACTTTTAAAGTTTCATTCCGAATCATCAATCACCATTAAAAATATATCTCTGTACCTAAGACTTTCGATTTTGAAGTATTGGTTTTCATTACTGACTAACGTTGGCTAGAAAATGACTGAAAATCAGGGATCATTGAAAAGTTTTTCCGCTCCAGTTTGAGATTTCGCAAAAATGCACACTAATAGCTCCATACACACAAGACCAAACTCAAAGCCTTCAAGTCTTATACTGAATGGAACCATTATTCGACGTTGGATCTCCTCAAATTACAACATTAATAATAGTCTTGTGCTGAATATTGAATAGATTTGAGATTGACCTAACAAATTTCTAAAGCAAATATGTAATCTGTAGAGTTAAATAAATCGGTAATGATAAAGCAATACACTGGTAAAATTGACTGACATTTTGAAATATGTATTACTGGGTTTCGTTTCGGTAATATAGATAGTTTTATACTCACTGTAAAACATAAAAGTTTTATTTTTCAATCCGGTATAGTATTGCATATAAACGATAGTGAGAAGTTTTAAACTAGAATGAAATAAATATCAATTACATTACGTATTTAATTGATCTCTTGGATGATGTTAAGTAGCAGTAGAAAGTAACTTTAAAGTGGATAACACCTATAATTTTCCACTTTACTAATACTTTACAAAAATTGTCAAACAAAGTAATCTAAATTCACTTGGTATTGTTTGGCTTGTATCTTCCCATTGAGGTTTAAGACTACAATTGATCAGTCTGTTATTGACATATGTGCATACTGTGCGTATGCCTTGTATTGTGAATCGCGAGTTGGCTACTCTAAATTCTACCGATTGACTAGCTTCAGATATCTCAGTTCGACCCCAATACTGTTCCCAATCTCCAATATATCAGAACACGAACCGTAGATGAAAAATCGTTTATGGGGTCAGGAGCAGCAGAATAATGATTTACAAACAAATGCATATTTATACAGTTAGGATTACTATAAATATTGACCAACAGAAAGATGACACGTTCAATAATATTGACCAATAGGAAAATGACACGCGAAATAAATATTGATCAGTAGGGAAACGACCAATAGGGAAATGACACCATTTAACGTTCAAGGGTAGCGTTAGACTTAACCGGATAATTGTTTCTGGGATATTCTTCTGAGTATCCCAACACCTCCCCTTTGGAGAAGTTAATAGCGACGTAACCGAGGGTTTACTTGAAGTTTCTTTGGGTGTCTTCTTTTGCGATCCGACCTCCGAGGCAACCACACAGAACCAGAGGGATGTTCTACTTGAGTAGATGACTTAGTCGTCTCTGTTGGAGGTATTGGCGGAAGTTGAAACGTGTCCAACAGCAAGTCGAGTGGGACATGTTTTGTAATTGCTTCTTTCTCCTTCGCTTTCCTTGACCTGAGTTGATTGTGGTGCCTGGTCCAGATTTCTTGGTTCACCTTGACATCATACATGACGTTCCCATGTTTTTGTGTGATTTCACCCTCTACCCATTTATCACATCCATGTCTATAATCTCGCGCATACACTTTTGTACCAACTTCGTAGGGAATTCGAGTATTCTTCAGCTGGGGGCTTTGCTGGGCCACTTGCTTGGGTTTCATCGCACCATGAACTGTCCGTAGCTTTCGCCCCATAAGCATCTCAGCAGGGGATTTGGAGTTTGGCAGGAAGTCATGCGGGGTCGTCCGGTACGCAACTAGAAATCGTTCTATGATATCTTCTGTGGTCCCCTCCCCTCGTGCTTTAAGCATGGCTCGTTTAAATGTATCAACGAACCTTTCAGCTTGTCCATTAGATTGCGGGTGATATGGCGGAGAACGAACATGGTTGATCGAATTTTGCAGGCAAAATTCTCGGAATTGGCTAGATGTGAATTGTGAACCATTGTCTGTTACTATTGTTTCTGGAAGACCATGCTGAGCGAAGATCCGATTAAGGAGTTTGATAGTTCGAGTTGTAGAGGGTGGCGCAATCGGCAATATCTCCGGCCATTTGGAGTGTGAGTCAACCAGTATCAGATATGTGGTACCATCTAGGGGTCCGGTGAAGTCAATATGCACTCGCGACCAGGGTTTTTCTGACTTCGGCCAGGGCACTGGAGGCAACTTAGGAGGATTTTTCGCAGCTTTTTGGCAATGTGAACATCTTTTGACGAAGTCGACAATCTGCTTGTCCATATTTGGCCAATATGCATAGCTTCGAGCGATGGATTTCATACGGTTTATCCCTGGGTGTCCAGAGTGGAATTGGCGTAGGACCTTGGAACGTAGGGTTGTTGGAATTACTACGCGATCACCAAACATCAAACAATCGTTAACAATACAGAGAGCGCTGCGACGATTCGCTAATTGTTGCATATCACCACTCAGCTGCTTAACTGGCCATCTGCTCTGAACATAGGTGATCGCTTCTTGGATAATCGGGTCTTCTCTGGTAGCTTCCCGGACATCTTCAGCGGTAACAGGCATTGCTCGAACGGCGTTCGCCAATAGTGTAGCACCGGAATCCTCTTCGGTTGATACTGTGGCTATGAGTGTGTCCTCATCAGTGGTAGAATGGTTACTGATAAGTCTGGACAGTGCATCCGCTTGACCAAAATCTTCGGAACGTCGATACTGGATGTCGAAGTCGTACCCCAATAACGCCAACGCCCAACGTTGAAGACGATTAGCAGAATAGGCAGGAATGCCTTTCTTTGATCCAAAGATTGATAACAACGGCTTGTGGTCTGTGAGCAAGGTGAAACGGCGCCCATAAATGAATTCGTGGAATCGCCGGACAGCAAAGATTAGGGCTAACGCTTCCTTCTCTATCTGGCCGTAGCGTTTCTCAGCAGGTGTTAGTGTTCTCGAAGCGTGCATCACCGCTTTCTCTGACCCGTCGGGAAAGACATGTGAGATTACGGCACCCAGTCCATGTGTTGAAGCGTCAGCAGCAACCACAATGGGTAGTTTCGGATTGTAGTGGGTTAGCAGAAGATTGGAACTTAGCATGGCTTTAAGTTTTGAAAAAGCTGATTCACATTGCGTTGACCAATTCCAAGTAGCATTCTTTTCTAGCAGACGATTTAATGGATATCGTACGTCATGCAGTGATGGAAGAAATGCTGAATAGTAGCTAATCATCCCCAGAAATGATCGCAGTGAGGAGACATCAGTGGGAGCAGGCATTTGTTGGATTGCGTAAGTATTCTGAGGATCAGGGTGTCGTCCGGAAGCATCAAAGATAAACCCCAGGTACTTAACGAAACGTAAGAAGAATTGGCATTTTTCTGGGCGAAGGCGAAAACCATTATCCTGGAGGCGTTGCAGAACTAAGTGGGTTCTGGTATGCAATTCATCAACAGTTGAGCCGACAATGAGCACATCGTCAAGGTATGTAGCAACACCAGGAACATCTGCCAGAATAGTGTCCATGATCTGCTGGAAGATCGCTGGAGCAGTTTTGATACCGAAGGGTAACCGGGTATACTGAAAAAGTCCTCGGTGAGTGTTGATTGTCAACAACTCTCTGGATTCTAGAGCGACTGGAATTTGAAGGTAAGCGTCTGCCAGATCCAGCTTAGCAAAATAGGTACCACCATTTAAAATAGTAAATAAGTCATCTGGGATCGGCAGCGGATAGTGATGCTGTTGTAGAGCCGCGTTGAGTCCTGTAGAAAAGTCTGCACAGATGCGTATGGAACCATTGGATTTTTTTACAACCACAATTGGTGCAGCCCATGATGAATAAGAAACAGGTACTAGGACACCTTCAGTTTCCAAACGTTGAAGTTCAGCGTCAACCAGAGGTAAAGATGCGTATGGGACTGGACGCTTTGGGCGAAAAACTGGCGTAGCTTCTGACTGCAGTTTTAAAACAGCTTCAGTTGTGGAACAAAGTCCGAGACCAGGCTTAAATAATTCAATAAATCGTTTTCGAAGGTCTTCAGTATGCTGTTGTGTAGAAGCAGTAGTTTGGACTTGATTGCAGACAGCGCTAATAGGAAGATCAGCGAGACCAAGTTCTTCGAACCAATCTAAACCTAAAAGGTTGAGCGGAGAATTGGTGATGTAACATGTCCCATTGAAGGTTGTACCTCTGAATGAAATACAGCAACAGAGTTCACCATGAAGGCGGAGATGACCCCCACAAGCACTGACGGCTGTCTGAGAGGATGGTTTGATGGGAGGTTGACCCAAGGTTCGCCAAGTCTTTTTCGACAAAATGGTGATGTCTGATGCAGTGTCCAACTGCAAACGAACAGGCTGACCATTGATTGAGAGGGTCAGAAATTTGCGTCGAGTCACGGCATGAGTATGGAAGACTGCTGCTAAACTCCTTGATGAGGTAATCGGCTTTTTGTGAAAACGATGCTGCGTCTGTGCATTTCGACGGTTATTGAATCGGTTGGATTTGCAAAAGCCGCTTTTGTGACCAACTTTCTGACAGCGATCGCACACATGCTGTTTGAATGGACAGAACTTCACATAATGCCAGGCTCCACAGTGCCAACATGGCGAGGGGGGTTTCTTCTGAACCGGTTTAGAGTGATTAGAGATAGAAACAGCGCTGGCGTTCGAAGGACTCGAGTTTGTCGATCTCGAAGATTTTTTTGGTGCTGAACAGCATGAACTTCGGAACCACCCTGGCCCCCAGATTGAACCAAAGTGGTGTCACGCTGCAGATTGATGATACGCTGGTATTCGTCTATGATCGCATTAAGTGTCAGTGTTGGATCTTGTTCAAGGCGGTTGAGCAACCGAGTTCTGATGTCAGAGAATTTGGGTGACTGAAGACTGCATATGAGTACTAGGGACTTGAATTGGTCTTCAGTGAGGGATCTGAGCTTGAACCGTTCGCACTCACGGTTAACAACGCCGACGTGGGTCAGGAAGTCATCAGATTCATTCATGACCAGTTTTAAGCAGCGATATCGGGTACTGAAGAGTGAGTGATGATCACCAAAAAGTTGGCTAAGGGACTGAATAGTGGCGTCGAATGAACGGTCGCGTGGGTTCTGCGGTAGAATGAAATTGCAATACTTATCCAGCTCGGATGGACCAAGTTTACGGAGAAGAAGTCGCACCTTCCACGAATCATCTCTGTCAACAAAGTCAACTTTGAAAAGGTCTTCATAACGTCTGAACCAGGTATCAAATGTAATGTTGGCATCAGGATCATAAAGAAATTCTGAAATACCACTGGTAATACCATCAACTGATTCAGGAATTGTCGGTGCAATTGGGACTCGAGAAGATATATGCGTCTGAGTAATCATCTCCATCAGCTTCAGCTGCTGTTCGAACAATTTTTCTAATTTGGCTGGATCCATAGTTAATCATCAACTTGTTGCTAAATCTCCGTCGCCAAATTTATTGTGAATCGCGAGTTGGCTACTCTAAATTCTACCGATTGACTAGCTTCAGATATCTCAGTTCGACCCCAATACTGTTCCCAATCTCCAATATATCAGAACACGAACCGTAGATGAAAAATCGTTTATGGGGTCAGGAGCAGCAGAATAATGATTTACAAACAAATGCATATTTATACAGTTAGGATTACTATAAATATTGACCAACAGAAAGATGACACGTTCAATAATATTGACCAATAGGAAAATGACACGCGAAATAAATATTGATCAGTAGGGAAACGACCAATAGGGAAATGACACCATTTAACGTTCAAGGGTAGCGTTAGACTTAACCGGATAATTGTTTCTGGGATATTCTTCTGAGTATCCCAACACCTTGATATTGCCTTAATTCACAAGCTTTTTGTAAGCGATGATGGATAGTGGCTAGCCACTATTTATTGATAAATAAACATTTCACTGTAAAAAATACATGCAAATTACATGATATTAATAAATTACTATATAGTTACACAGTTTTAATATCAATCTAGAAAAGATATTGTCTAATAGTAATGATGAAGTATTCTCAACTTTAATGAATTGATTGTTTTATATTTAAATAAGAAAGATTAGTTCAGCGAAGAGTTCTCTTTTCGGCGAATTCATTTTAAGATGACTTAAGTCATATTTATTGTTACAGACGATAAAGATATCATCTACGTATCTTTAATACAAGTGAAGTTTTTCTATAATCGCTTCCAGTTGATTGTTTCATGGCCAGATTAGAAAACAATTAACTGGAAGCGATTATCGAAAAACTTCACTTGTATTAAAGATACGTAGATGATATCTTTATCGTCTGTAACAATAAATATGACTTAAGTCATCTTAAAATGAATTCGCCGAAAAGAGAACTTCAGCTGTACATTCGTATATATAGTTATATGGAGAACATATGTCTATAGAAGGATAGGAAAGATTGCATCATAAAATGGATACAAGATTCTTATTATCAAATGAGATTATATACTAATCAATGTAGACCTTAAGTAAATGATTTCATCATAAAGAAAATTTTCTTCTTCATTAAATTCTCTATTTCCTATTCAATGAATGATATAATTGATTATTTTAATTACGCTTTTTTTAAACTAATTTTCCAGTTACGATATTGTGAATACAATTTGTAAATATCATAATAAATCAATTCGTTTACCAAATAAACATGGATACACGTGTATTTATTTAGCTAAAAATATATTAAAAGATATGAAAATGTTATCCTTATTAATTCAATATTCAAATTCATCCATAACTTCATATAATTCTGGACAATATTTATTTAAACAAAATAATTTTATAAAAAATACAAAAATTTCAAATTTCAATCAGTTAAATATAAAGAAATCATATTCTAATTTGATTAGAAAATCAGAAAATAATAATAATAATAATAAAAAGAGGAAATTGAAGAAATTTAATAAACCATTGAATCATTTAACAATTGATCAATTAAACAAGAATTTAAATTTGAATTATGGGTTTACTAATAATAAGAAATATTATTCTTATTCATATAATGATGAAGATTATCATTCTGTTCGTACATTATCTACAAAATTTTCATATATATCAATGAAACAGAATAATAAAAATTATTATAATAGACCTTTTAGTGGATTATCTGGTAATCGTGTAGATTTGAATGAACGTGAATTAAATAGAAATTCTCGTTTAAATATTGAACAAAACTATATTGAGGATATTTATGATGTACAAAATAAAAATAATTCAATGCAATATAGTAAGTGATATTAACTTTAGTTTATTAGTTATTAAATATAGCCTTCTACAATTTTTCTAATTTGATAAATTTAGGCATTTAGTTAATTCCAGTAGTCGAGATCATGAGTCAGTTGGAGCTAGATCACCATGGAAAGGCTGGAAGCACTGGACGGCTGTTTCATCCTATTGTGGGACTCCTCAGTAGTACCCATCTACGACCACGCCTCGCGGGACTCGAACCCAGGACCTATCAGTCTCGCGCGCGAGCGCTTAAGCACTAGGCCACTGAGCTTGCATCCACCGGTGTTAATGTCTAACAACATCTAATCCACGAAAATTAAGCGACACATCCACTGCTGTCATCAGTGAGTTACTATCTTACAACTGACCAGGTTGAACTCCACTGGTCACTGCATCCCACTAGAACTCCAGGAAATACCTCTTGAAACCAGTCATTAGTGAGCATATGTTGATTAGTGTCGGAACGGCTTTTGTGGAGATTGTAATAATTTCAGTAGTTGAGATCATGAGCCAATTGAAGCTGGACCACCATGAAAAACCTGGAAGCACTGGACGGCCGTTTCATTCTATCGTGGGACTCCTCAGCAGGGCTCATCCACTACCTCGCCTCGCGGGAATGCAGAATTCAGTAACGTTAGTCTTGCATAAACTAATCTATCATTTATAAAGGTACTCTGTTTTGACAAATTCCTTTCTCTCTATTCTATATAACTTTTTTATTTACGAAAATTTTATTCATCGAACATTTTTAACGTAACCAAATTTAAAGTTATAGAATGATGAATATTATCAGTGCTAGGTGTCACTAACTTCTAGCCTTAGCCATGTTGGTAGATGCAAACTACTTGGTTGGTCCACATAGCTATCATAACCATTGGTTGGAGACTCTGGGTGACATGGCTCAGAATCGATCACTATGGCGTAGGTCTATAAACTCTTTGTCTTCCTTTAAACTATGAGATTAAAATCGCTTTATATCTTTCTACGAACTAATTCTCTGTTCCTATACTATATCCTCATATGCAATCTTTCATTTATATTATTACCACCAGTGAATTAACTACTTCTATGAATCTGGTGTTCATCTTGCTGTGCTAATAAGGTATGGTAACTTGGATCGATGCATATATGTGTCTCGTACTACGTTGTAGCTAACTGGCTGATAATCTATTGAAGAATACTTTAAATAATGACTTGTCTTATCCTTTGGAATATTTACTGGTAGATATTTTATTACCAGCTTTGACAAAGTGGTAATGAAAATGCACTTTTTAATAAGAATTTAGTCAGTAGACAAAAGTATATATCCCAATGACTTGGAAATCAGTTATTTTATTTGTCAGTAACCTTATAGTCATTGTTTAAATATCTATATTCCTATCGATTATAATATTATTATATTTCTGATCATATGGTTATTTGTTCATTGCTAACTGAAATACTAAAGTCAATGACAATATATTGATTGATTAATAATTTAATTGTATATAATTAGTAAAACTCTGAGAATGGAATGTAAAAGCACGATACTAAATACTAAGTAATTGCTAAATTTAATGGAAGAACATTGAAAATAGTTATATATTGCTATAACTGTGACGGCAGCCGATTAGAGGACAGCGAATTATCGACCGGACCAAAGACGCACAAACACGTAAGAACGACCTAGGGTTCCGATTGGTCCCGCTTCCCTGTCTAGCCCAGCCAGTTGAGTCCAGAACACAAGTCTCAGCCTCGGAGATATGAATCGTTATATTTCAAACACACTCTGCTTATATACCAATCAAGCACACCACATCGTGTCACAAAATAGAAAATAAAATTGTACAATATTGACCAGTAGGAAAATGACACGTGAAATAAACACTGACCAATGAGGAAATGACACCATCTCAAGTCCAAGGATAGCGTTAGGCTTAATAGAATAATTTTTGGGATATTTTTCTAAATATCCCAACATAGATTTATGTAACAATAAACAATTTTTCATTCATTGTACTACAGTTCATACCTAATAAAATTAGTAAATTGTTTGTTATACGGATTGATTTTAAGGATAAATGTATTGATTTATCGATTATATAAAATTAATAAATAACAGACTAATTAAAGTGTTTATATTCAATAGTTGAATATAATTAATAGCAAGAACCTAATCATATGAGAGTGATGTTTTTCCTCTTTAATGATCCTTGAAATTTAATATCATGGACAGGTATTGATTAGATAACCATCAAAAACCAAAGAGTACTATACTGATCTTTTTTTTACCATAGTATGAAACTTCTGAAAATTATACATTCTTTTACTTGTCAGTGCTCAAACTCAGAGTCTTTGAGCAGTGTACGGAATGTCTTACTTTTAAACTACTGAATAAGTATTCAGTGAATTACATTTCTAACTGAGAATGTCATATGAAATTAAGTAGGCTTATGTTGATGAAAGTATGAATCGGCTTTGACAGCATTTTAGAGAACGTATAAATGTGTTAAAGATTGCCTCCTTATATGGTGGTCAATGAAATGCACTAGACATCAGTGTTTATTGAATAATCTTTTACAACCAGATACTAGTTCTAATAAACGTAAAAGCATAACCTTCAGTTAATTTTTTATCCACGTATCTGATATAAATGTATTAGGTCTTATAGATAGGTGCCTAGTTATTAATTACTCTTGAAGGTTTTTCAAGCAAATTGAAACGATTTCGTCTTTTAATTGAACATTTTAACAACTTTTGAAAACCAGGAGGCACATGACAGCTGTTTGGCCCTAATAATGGACTCTTCATAGGTGCGCATCGACGACCTCATCGTGGACAGAATCCAAAACTTTCACGTGTTGCAGAGATCACTTTACTCTTAAACCCCAGAATTCGAACCCTGTGGTTTGCTTTTTTCAACCTGAATTAATTTACAATACTGCTCAAACATCTTTCAGCGCTATCGGTATGTAATTGCCTCATAATAGACATGGCTGAACTCGATTGTTTATTGCTCCTCACTAGAACCCAAAGAATCACCTTCCGAAATCAGATAATCGTGAGCACTTGAATGTTACTGGTATGGGAAATTTGTGAACATTGTTGAATTTCATGGTTCGCATCACAAATTGATCTTAGTTAAGGAACACTGGACAGTTTTATCATTAGCGGACCTATTAACAGTCCCCATTAACTCATATTAGAGTATAAGCCAGTTGTATAAAGTTTTAGATGGTACCTTATTCATTCTAAATAATGGCCTGAATTAGTATTAATCAGAAGCTGTTTATTCTATTTCTGATTATTCAATGGTTGTCTAACTAAAGTCAAACCGTAACATACTAAATTTATCAACATAATTTATGAATTTTATCGGACCGTTTACATTCTGATCTATTTCAATTTATGTAAACAAATAGAAACTATAAGGTTTTACAAATGAAACTTTGTATAGTCCTTATGAGCAATAAATTATATGTAGTTTTAAAAAAAACTATCATTTTATAAAATAAAATCTCATGGATGTTTTACATACACGTATAATTTCACAATAGATTTTCAGTAACAGTAGTGTAATGTAAATAACTGTTAATGATTAATCCTCCAAGCTTACAATCTTCTATATGTTAATTAGAATATAAGGATAATTCTTCTATCCATTTATTCTTATGGAAAATGTCACTGAATTGAAAGTAATGTTAATTCATAGCTCATTATAACGATATCGAATCCGAACGATTTGTGAATGCATAACAGTAAGGGAATATCATAATAATATTCATTTAATCAAATGAATTAAATAGATTTATATAGAACTATTAAGATAAGTTTCTTGATTTTCACTTTTCATCTTGAAATATGTAGTTGAACCCTTGAAAATTCAAGTTTGAGATCATAATATTGTGACACTTGAGTCTTCTAATTAACAAATGTTAGCTAACTTTAATTATAAGCGATCTTGATTATCAGTTAACTACTGTTTATAGTTAGATCCAGAACTGTCTCACTTATGGAATCGATTGATTAGAACCAAATTACTCGAATGTAGGTTTATAATTGTATGAATTTAACCATTATAGTCAAGATTTAAATTTTCGAGGTTGTGGATACCGATTAGTATCAATGAATGAAAACATAGGTTAATAATTTATACACAATTATCACCTAATATGTAACTCAATTTACAAACTCTTTAATCACTTATCAGTACTAGTTTTCTGATTCAATAAATTAAGAATCACTGGTTCGAGTCCAGGTGTCATGGTAATTTCTCTTCCAAACTTAACTTTTTAACACCTCTTATCATAACTCTGAAAATTAATCTTATCATCGATTATTTAAACAATATACGTAAATTAACTTTGAAAAGTTTTTATTTTCAAATAACATTTACAAAACGTTAGAAACAATGTTGTGTGCACGTAAGGTCATTTAACCTTAGAGTTAATAAAGGACGAAATACTCAACAACTGTTATTATTAATGTTATTATCAGTAGGCTTATGTAAAAAAGTATCAACTCAATACAATCATGATTCATTTAACATAATACTACCAAGACTTGTACTTAATTAGTATTACATATAATATATATGAACCTTTGTACAAACCCAATACTATATTATTCAAAAAAAGAATAGTGTATTCAATATTTGTTGGATTATCTGTAAAAACTGTTGTCGGTGTTAAGTGTGATTAGATTTGGTGAATAGCAGTTATCGACAAAATCTATTTGTAGCTTACAGGACATAAATTTGAATACTAAAATGTCTCTCTCTCTCTTTATCCTCAAAGTATTCTGACTCAACTCTAATTGCACAAATCAAAATGTCAACTGTATTCTGAACACATAGGTTAAACTAATGAGTGGAAACGAAGTATAATACTCTTCAAGAGAATTTGTTCTATCCTCTCTCCGATGAAGTTATTCTTAACTCAGTCCCCAACGATTAAGAAATAAAGGAAAGAAAAAAGTTCATTCTCACTCCAATGAACAATGATCCTGGTGTAAAGTAATGGATAGTTGTAGAATCTTTTAGTATTTATCATTCAGAGTGAGAATTTTGCATCATCGGACTTCACAGTATTCCTGCTATTGTTTAAAATACAAAGTAGCGATTATTAAAAGTTCTATCTTTCAGCTGACCAGTGTCAACATTTTTTGGGAAGATAATACGTTTTCCAGCACAGACTTACTTTCAAATATGTTCCTTTCAGTAATGCAGCTAGAAATAATGTTCACGAACTATTCAAAAATCATTTTAGTTTAGGCAGTGAAATATGTGTACGTATAATTGTCCCTGATGTAATTCATCACTAGGGATTAATGGTTGGTTGATATGAACAACATCAAGCAATTCTTTACCCACTTCCGTTTAAGAAACATTATCCTTCATACACACAGAAAATCTAAGTAAAAGTCCAGTATTTTAATCACTACGAAGATGAACTACATTATTTGGTTATATGATATCATTGATGAAGTTCTTTCGGACACTAAATAAAAAAGAATCAACATATGAATGTAATTTTATCTTTAATTTTACTAGGAGTCACAAAGGCAGATTTCTGCGATGTCTCAAACTAGGCTTAAGAAACTGTCCAGTGTTCTCCGCTTTCCAACAGCTCGTCAACTGAACTCATTTTATAATAAAAATGTTTTTAAATTAACCAGATCTTCATAAACCCTTCAGTTCAGTCATTATGTGAGATGAATTAAGTTAGTAGCTATGACTCAAAGAATTTTCAGAGAAAAGCAGAAAAGTATTTTGAGTTTTATAATTTCTGAGCTAACTGATGTTTACTTGTCAGTTTAGGGTTATGGAGATAGTTGAATGTCATTGGAATCTCCACAACCTTATACTGACAATTATCATGCGCTAGTGACTAACTTTGAGAGAAATTTTCCGGATTTCTAGTTGAAAGCCGTGACCAGTGTAGATAAACTATGTCGGGTATGAGGAAGGTATCCATCAAAGACAACAGGAGAGAGTCGTGCACTTTCGTGAACTGAATGAAGTATCCTAACCCAGTGGTCTTAGTATTAAACGTTCGCGCGTGTAACCGGCTTCAACTTCCGCATGCGGGGTCGTGGATGTGCACTGCTAAGGAGTCCCACACTAGGAAGAAGCTGCTGTCCGGTGCTTCCAGGTTCTCAATAGTGGTCTAAAGTAGATCGGTTCATGATTCCAATGATGTTTATTCATTGAGATTTACATATCGTATACCTATTGATTGTACATTGAGTTACTCCTGACACTAAACTCATACCAGTACAGAAAAAAATATCTATTAGAAATACTAAAGTAGAATGAACTAACCAAACAGGTACTTTTACAGTGGCTTTGTAAGTAGAGCACGGAAACAGATTACTAAGAAAGTGATTCATCAAAACTCACATAGGCCGGGAGTAAAAATAATAGATCCCTGACGATGAAAAATTTAGTGAAGAGTAATGAAAATTTAAGCTTACTAAGAAGAAATGACAAATTGGTAAGAGATATAATCAGTGTTTTAGAAATATAATCATCCCCAAATAATTCCCTATCTCAAGTGATTATCAGTGATACTTTACAATGACATATTAATTAGTTTTGATTAGTTAGTTGACTGAGTGAAATCTTATTTTGGATTTATTAATACTTGGGAAATCATTTTAATAGGTTTAAGCTATGCGAAGTGAAGTACCCATGAGAATAGTTCATAATCTTTTAATAAAGCACAATTATTTTATCACCTTTATTAAGTGATTGGTTATAGTAGTAGAGAGTTTACTAGAAAAACCCCAGCTTCATTGCTTCCACAAGCTATTGAGTTTAAATTAGTAGGAAATCCGAAACCAATCGATTTCGCCAATTCGCTACATATATTTTCAAATGCTGTCATCATTCGTGTATAAATGCAAACTTTCGATTCATGTGGTGTATCTTGTAAGTCTGATTAAATTCCCTTCTTATACTTTTTACAACCAGACGGTTCAAGTGAACCATGTATTGCTGCTTGTAAAAATAATACTGCTTTCGCTACTACACTACAAGATAATCCGATATTACAGCCTGAAAATATTGATCAACTGGCTCATCAGCAGAAAAAAGAGTCTGAGGACAAAAATGTAAGTTCTAAGACAGTCACTATTATTTAAGTTTTATAGACTGAACAAATTAATGCATTTTGAAATTAGTGCTGCACTGCAGTTTCGGTACTCATTCAATAATAACTAACTCATTTATGCCCTTTGAACAAGTTGGTAGCTACATGAACTCAATAGACAGCATTCTGGGCGCTTGAAGCGAAGACAATGAGCTCAAATCTCAGTATGAATGCATCAATACAAGGATGCACGCTTATCCAGCTGACAAGTTACAAATAGAACAGAACACACCAAACATATCATTCAGTGTTTTAGATTACATTGGCTTCTCGATGAGTATTTTTTCTTACTATCGTAAAAATTGTAGGCAACTAAATAATTATGGAGTCAACCAGTTATTCAGAGAACTCAGTGTCTGTCCAAGCAAAACTGGAGTTGCCAGGTACATTTTCCAAATTATTCAGTACAAAATTAATCCATCATGGTCATTCCAGACAGCCTAATGAGTTCTATGTTTATTGATACAATGAATGGATCATGTAATGAAATATTATGATTAATTTTTAAAATGTTAGGATCCTCTTTTTTAGTCCACAATTATACCAAAATGATCATGCAACTGAAACACTTGGTTTCCATACCACAACACTTTGATTTGAAAACGAGATCCAACTAAAATCTATGAGATGTGTAGTTCACTGAGATCTACACACAGTTTTACAGATAAATTCACAACCTCGTAGTATTACCAAGGAACTTGTTGGAACTCATGTATGACAGGTTGTAAAGTTCGAAAGTTTTAAAAGTAAAGGCAGTTCTTAAGGCTGATTAACACTGATTTACAACTAATAGTTTGATCAACTTTCAAACTTTTTTAGATTTGTCAACTAATTACTAATAACATTAGTAATATTACCAATAAAATGGAAATGGATGCACTTACTACTGCTACAACAACGACTACTACTACTACTACTACTACTACTACTAATAATAATAATAATAATAATAATAATAATAATAATAATAATAATAATGAAGATGATTCTGACGATTATTACAAGATGAACAGTACAAGAAGAGGTATTTGTTTAATCATTAATAACATGATGTTTTGGCACTCGGATTTTCAGGTAAGTTGTGATTAAAATCAAGTATAATTAATGTTATGAGTAAAATGTGACTTTAACTACATGATTTAATACAGCTCTTAAGAAAGAACCTCTTTATTAAATCAAAAATTATAGAATGAGTCCATGAAAGTGGAAAATGTACTACGTAGATATGTCTTGGTTGTTTAAATCTTTCCATTGCTGTTGATGACTGCAACTGATCAGTCTGTTTTGGCATATGTGCATCCTGTATGGATTACCTCTATATCACCATTAAGTCACAAGTATTGTGTATACTTTATTTTTCTAAATTTATTTGAGCACATAAACATTGGTTCAAAGTAGGCACTAAATACATATGCGTCACACAATAACAATGAGGTTGTGAAGAGATAGAAAATGTAAAATGCGTATAGTAAAAAGAAGTACAATAACGAACGGAAATTTGTGCATGATAGTGGAATAATAATAATAATAATAATAATAATAATAATAATAATAATAATAATAATAATAATAATAATAATAATAATAATAATAGGAGAGGCAATTCAGTTAGCAAAGGTATAACCAGGAAGAATTCTTCCAGTTACAAAAGTAACGTCCATTTTTTATGAAGTAAAATAAAGTTACAACAGGTTTGCCACTGGCTTCTATTCTGAGCAAGATCCGGTAACGTCTCTAGCCAGTGTTGCACCATCTCTCAGACCCCAACCAGGGAGTCGTGAAGGACCAACAGAAGCCAGTCTTGTACAGCTTCCTTTCATATCACGACACCATGTCATACACTGACCACCTCTCCGCTTTTCCAACCAGTCCCAAAGTCGGCAAATAATGCACGACGTGAAGTTCTCTCAGCGACATTCGTAGAACATGTCCAACCCACAGAACTCGGTGTTTCAACATGGTGACACTAATTGAATTATCGTCGCTCTACCTGAACATACGATGCCGAACCTCTGCATTACTAACATGGTGTTGCCACTAAATGTAAGCAACCCTACGGAGACGACGATGATCAAACAAAGAGATTCGCCTAACATCCTCAACTCGGAGAGGCTAGATCTCACGAGCATGGAGTAAAGCTGCTCTCACCGATGCGTTGTTGCTCCGACCTTTTACAGCCAGACTAACATCACGAAGGCGCCAAAGATCGTCTAAATCGGCATAAGCCGCTCTGGATTTTATTATACATGAATTAATCTCACCACTCATACCACCAGTAGCACTTGCGCAACTACCTAGATACACGAACTTCTCCAGTAATTCTATCTACTCACTACTCAAAGTGAGTGCAGGGTCCTGCCAGTCTTGTAAAAGCACTTCGCACGTCGAAGGTACAAAGCACATGCCATACCTACGGACACTAATTGACAACTGATTAAGTGCTGATTGAACGATTTTAGTATCGCACAGTAAAATAATATCATCCGCATACTCAAGGTCAAAGTCTTTCTCAATGCAACAGATCCATACCATGATTGCCTACTTTCATCAGAGCGAAGTCGGGGAGGAATAGTTAGATTGAGCGACCCTGCTTACCCCATTGCTTGGGTGGACAATAGAGAGAGATGGCCGTATGATTTCAATCTGCCTGAAACGTTTGTATATAGGGTTTTCAGGATGTTAATCAATTTCTCAGACACACTTTTCTTCAATAAACAATCCCACAGAACGGTCCTGTCCAACGAAATGAAGGCGGCCCTAATATCAAGAAACACTATGCTTGTTGGCCTGTGATAAGTATGGCGGTGTTCTATCATTTGATGGGGGGTGAAAACATGATCAATACGCCCTCAACCAGAACAAAAACCAGCCTGCTAGTTGCGAGTCAATCTCTCCTGGGTTTCCAACAATCTACCAATTATAACGGAAACCAATGGTTTGGACGCAACCGAAAGTAGACTTACCACCCAACACTGACAACTTTAGATTCATTCCAGGGTGTTGGGACACTCTAATTGCCGAGCCTCTGTAACCAACTCAATCAGTTCCTTAACCAAAGGGTCGTCACCATCTTTAAAAAGATCCGGAAGTAAGTCATCTGGACCTGGTGATTTGTGGCACTTCAGGATTTGGAGTTTCTTGCGGACCTCTGTTTCGTTAGGTGGATCAGTCGTCACAGGCCATGAAGAGTAGTACAGGCTGGTCTATGTTGTCAGGGCAGCAGACTAGTCGAATTATTCCTCGAAAAACTCAGTCCATTGTCCAAGACTTCCGGCAGTTACCGGAGGCAGCTGCTGTTTCCGGTTCATTAGCACTCTCCGACCACCAGACTTCTCGGTCCTTACGCAAGCTTTCCACAATTTCACTACGTAAAAATCTTCGTTTATCCTCAAATTCACGGTCACTTAGGGTAGACCGACGTGCTTTGATCACTTGTAAGGAGCCTGTAGAAACCCAATGCTTATAAGCGGGACGTTTTACGAAGTCGTAAGCTACTTTACTCAACGTTTTTATGGTATCATGAAGTTGCAGCCAATGCACATCTAACCTATCAGAAACAACATACTGTGGGAGAGAACAAACCAGATCCTAGCGGAGGAAGAAATCAAGAAGAAGCGCTGGAAGTAGATAGAACACACATTGAGGAAAGAACCCAACTGCATCACAAGGCAAGCCCTCACATGTAATCCTCAAGACCAAAGGAAGAGAGTAAGACCAAAGAACACATTACGCCGAGAAATGGAGACAGATATGAGGAAAATGGACAAAATTTGGACAGAACTAGAAAGGAAGGCCCAGGACAGAGTGGGTTGGAGAACACTGGTCGGCCTCCTATGCTCCATTGGAAGTAACAGGCGCAAGTAAGTAAGTAATAGCTAACCTAGAAGCTAGCTCGGTTTGATACTTAGTTACAACAGAAGTTGCAACCAATTTTCTGACATCAATCCTTTGGTGGCGGTCACTTCATTGGCCACTGAAAAGTAAGGTAAGATTGGCGCAGACCAAAGCATGGTCAGAGTCCAGATAGGTACTCCAAAAGGAGCGGCAGTCTTGTACACAACCACGCCAGCGGTCGCTGATCGCGATGTGATCAATCTGAGTCCACGCTTGGGATGCAGAGGGAGGACGCCAGGTGGCACATCGGCGATGACTGTGCCGAAAGTTAGTGCTAGCCAGAAACAGGTTGTGGTCTGTGCACAGTTGCAGTAGACGGTCCTCGTTATCTGACCTGCGACCAACGAGTCCCCATCGGCCACCTAAACGACTCTCTTCTGTGCCTAGACGCCCGACCTGAGCATTCAAGTCTCCGGCTAGTACTACAATATCTGTTGAACGCACTTTCTGTAGAAGAACAGATAACTAGTGGTAAAACTCATCCTTGATCGCATCTGGGCTGTAATCTTTCGGAGCATAGGCATAGATGACGAAAAGACATTGTTTCTCATACAGATTTATGCGCACTTTGGTGGAGCTTTCCAATCTAAGAGCGCATAACCGACTGTTAATGGGGATCCAATCGATTAGTGCTGCCTCAGCTCTAGCGCTTAGTGCGATACTAACGCAAGAAAATCAAACGACGATGGATGGACAACAGACGTCGACACCAAGACTTCATAAAGACATAGCCAACCCTATCTATTGTTTAACGTGCATTAGTATGCAAACGTTGAAGGAGGCCAGTTTGGATTATTTGAGGAATTCTGTTTCAGCAATCGTAGTCAGTGGTAGCATTCAACTTTCAACCAGTCACTGGCTTGAGATTGTTCATACAGGACATAATTTCCACCATAGGTGAGCTGCTGCAAAAGCTGAAAAATAAAAAAAATACACAAAATGGGGATAAAAGGGAGTAGATAAGTGATGTAGTATAAAAGAAACGAAAAAATGTTACCAACTGATTGTGAGTGAAATTTGTCTCAATGAGTGTTGAAGCAAGAGTAATTTTTCCAGTAGTAAACATCATTTGATTTGTATGAGGTCCGAGACATTGCTCGGAGTCCCAAACCGAAGCAGGTGATTTTCTTAGGGGACTACTCACCGAGTTTTTGACCTAAAGGTCTAATCCACAAGGCAGTGGAACGACGCTAGACGATGCAGTCCCATGGTGGCTGGTGACCAACAATAGGTTCATACACCATTTGTTTCCTCAGGATCCTGGGGCCTATGTGCACCATTGGTTTGGAATCACGGTTTTCCGACTCCCCTAGGTGGAATCTCCGTGTCCACCAACCCGGTTAGAGCGCCGGACATCCGCTTTTCATCCATCCACAACCACTAATAACCAGAAAGCACTGGTCAGCTTTTTCATTCTATCACAAAACTCATTAACAGTGAAGATAATTAGGTAACAAACTCCAAGAATTTCATAGCTCTCAGCTTGTGAATAGCCTTCAAACCACCGAGTTAGTGTCTAATGGTGTGGATCTTTAGCTTCAGTCAGTTTGTGCACGACACTACGCTATTATCATCTATTACTATTGGGGATATCTATAGTTTAATAAATGCTCCTAATCAGTTCGTATTTATTTATTGAAATAAAAAGTAAACAAATAAGTTACCTTGTCGAATTTGTGTGATCTGAGAGAAATTATCCACAAAAGACAGAAACCGACAAGCCGTTGGAATTTATGAAGCACTGAGCGTTCTTTCACTATATTAAGAATCGACTGAGATTGGAAAATACGAATCATTGCTTTTTGACTTCATAATTGGATGGTATCATTTCTAGCAAATGAACTGCAACTTTCAAATCCTATAACGTGTAAAATCGCGATTATTGTATCAATAAATAATTTCAGGCTAGGTTGAAGCATCCAACTGATACGTTTTAATGTTTGGAAATAATTCAAATTATGCTCATCTGTGATGAAAAGATTGTTCAATTTAATGTCTCAGAAAAATATTGCAGTCAAGTAAATTTTATCAAATTAGTCATTGAGCATAAAATTTATTTCATACTTATCATTCTTTTGTTCCATTTATTTTTCCGACTATATTAAAGATAATGAATTTTCACTTTCATTGATATCATTATCATCAGTTCTTTGACATTCGATCTGTTGATTTCTGGTTATTACTATAAATCCGTTTTCTGTTTAAATCCAGTATGAGTTTACTAACACTTAGTGTGTCAAAAGATAGACCGTTCATCCGTCCCACAATCTATGAACTAGAATGCCAGAATGATCAGCTGAGCACATTGTACTACCCTGTTTGTACGAAACTGGGACATTTATGGTACGAAACTCAGTCAAAGGTTTGTGAAAAAATTACTGATTCATAAGTGGTAAAAGACATAATGGTGGTTAATAAGGCAAATAAAAGTCTGAAATTAGGACAATGTGGCAATACCATAATCCAAGTGTTTAGTAAATGGGATTTTAAAATATAAGTACTGATTTCACAGAGAATAGCTTCCAAAGTTTTACATTTTCAGTTATTCACCCAGTATTAACGATTGTTGTAATATGAAATGTATCAAACTTAACTGATATATAATAGTACCTGGTCCCACTCTTTGTATAACTCCCTGTCTAAGTCACTTTACTATCTGACTGAACTTATACGGTATTTCAACGTAGTGATAGAATCAATAATGTTTTCTCTTCACATTTCTTACAGAATCGTTCTGGCTGTGACATTGATGAGAAGAGTTTGGAAAATGTTTTCGGATCATTTAAATTTTTGGTGAAATTACTTCGTAATCTATCAGCTGGTGAAATACAAGCTCAACTGGAACACTTAGGAAAGAAAACAGATCATCATGAATATGATTGTTTAGTAATATGCCTTATGTCACATGGAACTATTGGTCGGATATATGGAGTTGATGGAAATTCTTTATCAATACATGAATTAACTTCCATATTTACAGCTGATAATTGCCCTTCTCTAGCTGGTAAACCAAAATTATTCTTTATTCAAGCATGTCGTGGTGAAGACTATCAAAAAGGCTATGTTATACAGAAACAATCAAATGAAACTACTCAAACTAAAAATGATCTAACTGATCAAGAGGATGTTGATGTTGATAATTTTATTCAACATCAGTCATCCAGTTTAAATCTAAGACTATCCGTTTCTGATGCGAAATTTATCGGTTTCAAATTAGACAATTTACTCCATAATTCTATACCACTTCATCAATTGAACAATGTACAGTTAATTCCCACTTATGCTGACTTTCTACTAAGTTATGCTACTGTTGCTGGTTTCCGTGCACAAAGAGATCCAACCGGTGGTACTGTTTATATTCAGGCATTATGTAAACGATTATATAAAGGATTACAAAATGAAAGTATTCTTGATATAGTTACAGCTGTACATCGTGAAGTTAGTAAACAGTTATATCAAGAGACATCTAGTCAGTTAATGAAAACAAACGGTGAATTATTTCTTCAAATTCCTGAAGTTAGACATACACTAACAAAGAAAGTTTGTTTTAAACGATAAAACATGAAATACAGTTTTCTTCTCAAGATTCTTCATTACTATTCACTTAAAATCAATAATAACAATGATATTAATTGTATTAATATGGAACTATTAATAAATTGAGAAAACAAATTATTACATCTCGGATCATCACTCATATCGAAAGACTACATTTTATGATCCAAACGGCTAGAAAGGGGTAGGGACTGATTCATGAATGCTAACAAATGTTTAGTCACTAAAAAGTAGTCAGTTGGTGAAAATTCAGACTATAATCGCTAATTTGGGTAATTAAGCAATATTGTTCACGGCATTAGTCATTAAAAACATACAGACAAATTTCTTACATATGTGCACACTATTAACAGTAAAACATATTTGGATATTCACGGAAGCATAGATTTGAAATTCGAAACTATGTTTGGTGAAGAGACAAATCCAAAGCCATTATAGTTGAACGATTCAAGCCACAGTCAAGTCTTTCTCGGGTTTTGAACAACCTACGAAGTATAACGGAAGCCAATAGCTTGGACGCGATCGGAAGTAGACTTATCCCCCGATAGTTGTTAAAGGAACGACGTGAACCCCTTTTAAAGATAGGAACAACTCTCGACTCATTCCATGACGTTGGTACACTCTCTAGTTCCCAAACCTTTGTAAACAACGTCGTCGATTCCTTAGTCAGAAAGTCACCACCATCTATAAAAGGAGCCGGAGGTAGGTCGTCTGGATCCGGTGATCTGTAGCGCTTCAAGAGTTGGAGTTCCTTGCGGACTTCCGCCTCATTTGGTGGATCAGTCGCCACCGGCCATGGAGGGCAGGACAGTCTGACCGATGTTGTCGGAGCAGCAGGCCAGTTGAACTGCCCTTCGAAAAATTCTGCCCATCGTCCAAGACGTCGATGGATGTTAGTGATTGGCATTCCATCATCCTCGCAGATTGTTTCGCTCACACCAGACTTCTTGCTGCCAGTGGCTCGGATGAGTTGGAAGAGCTTCCGGTAATTACCAGATGCAGCTGCTGCTTCCAACTCATTAGCACGCTTCGACCACCAGGCTTCTCGGTCCTTACGCAAGCTTTGCCCAATTTCCTTACGTAACATCCTTCGTTTGTGGTCAAACTCACGGTCACCCGGAGTAGACCGACGTCAGTCAGTCAGCTACAACGTAGGACCAGACACATATATGCATCGGTCCAGGTTGCCATACCTCATTAGCACAGCAAGATGAACACCGGATTCATAGGAGTGGTTAGGTCAAAGGTGGTAATATATAGGAGAAAGATTGCATATAAGGATACAGTACAGGAAGAAAGAATTAGTTAGTAGGAAGAAAGATATGAAGTGATTTTAATCTCTTAGTTTAAGGGAAGACACGGAGTGTATACACCGACGCCATTGTGATCGATTCTGAGCCATGTCACCAAGAGTCTCCAACCATCGGCTCCAATGAGTTGTAAGGAGCCTGAAGAAACCCAGTGCTTATAAGCGGGACGTTTCGCGAACCCACAACTGACTGTACCCGGCATTTTCATGGCGTCATGCAATTGCAGCCAATGCTCATCTATACTTTTCGGTGGAATGGTAGCTAGCCTAGAAACTAGCTCGGCTCGATACTTACTAGCAACAGAAGTTGCAACCAGCTTGCTAACAACAATCCGTTGGTGGCGGTCACTTCATTGGCCACTGAAAAGTAAGGTAAGATTGGCGCAGACCAAAGCATGGTCAGAGTCCAGATAGGTACTCCAAAAGGAGCGGCAGTCTTGTACACAACCACGCCAGCGGTCGCTGATCGCGATGTGATCAATCTGAGTCCACGCTTGGGATGCAGATGGAGGACGCCAGGTGGCACATCGGCGATGACTGTGCCGAAAGTTAGTGCTAGCCAGAAACAGGTTGTGGTCTGTGCACAGTTGCAGTAGACGGTCCTCGTTATCTGACCTGCGACCAACGAGTCCCCATCGGCCACCTAAACGACTCTCTTCTGTGCCTAGACGCCCGACCTGAGCATTCAAATCTCCGGCTAGTACTACAATATCTGTTGAACGCACTTTCTGGAGAAGAACAGCTAAGCGACAGATGGAGAGCGAATTTGTAGTACTTTACAAGGGTCCTGAATACAGGTCGCGGATAGACAACACACGTCGATATTAAGACTTTTTAAAGACATAGCCAGCCCTATCTGTTATTCGATCTGCATTAGTGTGCGAACGTTGAAGGCAGCTAGTTTGAATAGTGCACGTGGCTTCAGAAAAACTGCTTCAGTATTCGTATTTGGTGGTAGCATACAGTTTTCAACCAGGCAGTGACTCGATATCGCTTAGATAGAACCGAGTTCCCATCATAGGCGAGCTGATGTATAAGTATACAAGAGGGTGAAGAATGTGGTAAATAATAATAGGCTTAGTTATACTAGAGCTGTTGCCAATTTCAAAAAAATCAGTGTAGTGTGTAGTTCTAATAGCAACTCACTGATAACAAAGATAGCGGATATCCTGCTTGTTTTTATCGATACTAAATAAATGACATTTTCTTTGGATATTCAAGATTTTATTCGGTGTGATCGGAAGATTGTCGTAAATAGTAAATACGAAGCAAAATGCACTATGTTATAATAGGTCCTAGTTCAAATAACTAAGTTTAGAGTTGCAAATATACGAATATTTATTTTTAAAAATCCTACATACGGAGTAAGGGCGAAACAGTTAACAAAACACTAGGTAATTAACAGATCTGTGATATTAAATAGTGATCATTATGCAGTGCACCATACTAAAGTGAGAAATCGATCCACAGTTTTCTGTTGATGAATTTAATATGGAGCAATATTATCTGAAGGCGAGTCGATCAATGTCATACTCCCACCTGGTACATGGAAATAACTGGTTCCCCAGACATCACAAGTTAGACCGGAACTTTGCGTGTGCCTTTCAAATGAGTTGACTATCTCTAAAAACGTGAGTAGTGTTCTTAGGATGTCTTAACATCAAATAACCAAATAAAATTAGTTTCCTGTCAAGGGCTTAGAGAAATCTAACAATACAAAATATCTTCTAAGGAATAAAGTAGGAGGTCACAAACACAGAACTTTTTTCAACTTGTCTAATTACTTTAAAAACAACTTAATTTATGTACAAAATAAGACTGTAAACACGAGGAAAAATTGAAGTATAAGGATTCACAAATACACAATGAAATCAACCGAGAATGAGAGAAGCACAACGTATATACACAGATAACTAAACATTTTTGGTTAATAAGACTTGAGTCTTTCCACAAGATGTGACGACAAATAAACAGTTGAAAGTCACCAAAATGTATATGTATGTGCATGTATTTCGAGTTATTTACTTTTAGAAAATAATGAAATGTGAAAAATAAAGCATAATAAGATAAAAAGAAAATAAAGTTATAGACTTAACGTGAAAGAGGGAAAAGAAACATCTGGAAACATATTCACTTCTTTAGTGTAAACGATAACTTCGGTCGAATTCGCTTTTTATTTAGAATAATCTCTTGTTCTCTTTTAATACGTTGGAGCTCTTCAGCTTCGCGTCGCTGACGTTCTTCAAGTTCACGTAATTCTGCTTCACATCGTTTACGCTCAGCTTCTTCCTATACACAAAAGTTAATAAAAAATTACTTTCTTTATGTTCCAAGAAAGCCAGACGATTCCATAGAGTTAGAGTAGATACTCCAATGTTTAACAATAAATTTCAAGAGCATAAAGATAGAATCTCTAATTCATGAGATTTAGATCTAATGTGACTTTCATTGACGTTAGGTTCCGGTTTAAAGATGACATTAAACTAAACATCAGCTATTTTTGTACACCCAGCTTTTAGGACGAATGTGATAAAACTGTTACTGTAGTACATCTATAATTCAACCGAGACAAAATTACCGTTATAATACCAAAAAACAAAGTAAGATAATCGGAAAGCTTATTGGTCAAATGTACTGAGGTCAAGTCTCGACGGCTCACGACCTCCGGTAAATCAGTAAGAGAAAGCTAATAGGCTCAGCTAAATATTAAAAAAGTGCCAACTGATAAAACAGATCTTTTTGTAGGTGTTAAACAGTTGCCCAAAAAGTCCTCGCTTTTTTGATAACTTCGACAAGACACGTTAGTCTAAATAAACTACGCCCATAACTTCCGAAAATATACACAAAAACATCACTAAGAGAAAACTTACCTCCAAGCGTCTTTGTTCTTCGAGTTCCCGTTCCCTCTCTTGAGCGAGACGCTCACTGAGCTCTTTTAGTCGCTTTTCTTCTTCCTATGTGGACAAAGAAACATGATTTAAAGTGAAAAAGCGACATTGATTAAGACATATACTAGTTTGCCTTTTGAAAAAAAAGAATACAGTAACTACTGGTTACGCGCATTCGGCTTGATTCAATGTGAGTTTAGATCAACCTTTGGAGTAACATCATATTCTTTTACTTAAGGCATTTTAAAATTTCGTACTGTTTTCTGAGTTATGTAAAAACTCGAACCAGTTTACCATTATGCCGTCATAAGTTCTTTAATTCATTTGATTACTTTCACATCCTCGTTAAATCAGTAATCAAGTACAGGTCTACGTACTCAGGCATAAGCCACGCTTTAAACTTAGGGTGGTGATGCTACCCGACTGCTCATTTCACTGCACTGATGTGATGTGGTAACTTGAATCAACGTACGTGTACCCAGCTATACATTAATTACGACTGACTACGAACTGGATACTAAGTTTAAATACAACCTTGATATCCTGACTGTTAATCTCATTGACTTGAGATTAGTCTTTTGAATTTCCAAACTACCCGTTATTTTTTAATCTCATGAACTATAAAGACGATGTCTAAGTACTATAAATTACCACAATTGCTTTCGTCCTTAGTGACATGGCCGCAATTATTGAAGTTATTTTAAAGCTTGTAACTTTCGTTCGGAACGGACATACATCGCTATTAACCCTTTCAGACTTGATTTATGGTTTAGTAGTTTAAACTGTAATGCTAATGATTTTGTATTTATTTAGAGCCTCATCTAGACAAATGGGACGGGAAAACGAGTCATCATGTTAGACGTTATATAAGAAAACGTACTTCACGTCGTTGTAATGCCTCAGCTTCTTCTCTAGCTTTACGTTCAGCTTCTTCAGCTCTTCGACGTAATACCTCAGTACGTTCAGCTTCCACTCGTCGTTCAATTTCGGCATTAAACTGGACTTTTCGTAACACAAGTAACTTAGCAAGCTCAGAGTCCAAGTAACGCTCCAGGCGTCGAGCGACTTCCTCTTCAAGAAGTTTGGATTCTGCCCACCGTTGACGCCTATAAAACGATAAAAGTTGAAGATAATGTTTGATTAAGTAATAAATCTTAGTGAGGATTGCAAACAATTTAATTCGAAGATGTGAAACAGGCTGGCAACTAGATAATGAAACTGCGATGTCTGTCGTTAGGCAAAATTATTATATAAAATCATCGTATTGTATAAAATTCATTTTAATACC